TATGTCCCCTGCCACCCTCTGTCCACCCTGGGACCCCCCGACAAGTGTAGTGGTCAGTCACAAATCCACACACACAGACATTGACACACACATGATCAGACTCCTACAGACAATCTGGTTTGTGTTTAATCCCTCATTTTATCGCATAAATCAAAGTTTCACAACTTCTTTTCCTTTTCTTTCACCTCTCCTTTCCTGTCTCCTTCCTTTCTTTCTCTCTACTTTCTTCTCCCCTCCTCTCCCTTCCTTTATCTTCACTTTCCCCCTGTTTTTCCTTTTCTTATTTCCACTCTCACATCTTTTCCTATGATACTTGCAACTTCTTCACCCTTCTTCATCACCTTTTTTTCCACTTTGTTCTTGACCTATGCCAACTCCTGTGTCCATAAACACACACTCACATGTTCAGGACTCTAGTTTAAAGCACAGATTAAAGCTTACGGTTGACCCCAGAGCACGCACCCCTGCTTCCCTGTCCATCAACCCCTTCCCTACACCTCCATCACTCACACACACACACAGACTTCTACCATCCAGCCCCACAGACACACTTGTCTTATTACCATATATATGGAGTTGGGCTGACAGGCAAGTGCTGCGGCCTGTGGTGGAGGGGAAGTGGGGAGCCATAATGGCCTCCCCAGTCAAGCAGGAGTGGCAGACTGGGGAGTGGACGCACATGGCACAGGAGGGGCCCCATGGAGCCAAACCGACCAATTGATCGCACCGCTGTGTCGGTCTTACTCCCCCCATGCACTTGCACTGTTTGTGAGCATTGAGAGACAAACTTTATAAAAGTTTTAGAGATATTTATCTTTCTTTATAAAGTAAATCAAAAAAGAAAAAGAAACAAGAAAGAATTCTTTCCTTCTTTTTCCTTTTTTGATTTCTTTCATTCAGGCTGACCACTGCAGCGCTCTCACTCACTCTTTCTAACACTCTCTCTCTCTCTCTCTCTGGGTGAGTGACATGTATATTTCAGAGGTGTGCTCCCCCTGTGGGCTCTATCTCGGGTCTCTAGTCATTTAGAGACGCGCTGTCTGCCTCTGCTCACAGCTGTTTGGACTCAGGCACACACCGCTTAAGTGCTTTACCCTCGGGTGAGACACGGACACACACACGTGCTCAAATGCACACATACACACACACACAGGTGTTGAAGAAGACACCATGCGAATTTGAAACCATGCAGCCCCTTCGCACACACACACACATACACACAAACACAGACACATACCCGTGCACAAATCACTGCAGCATACATGCAGCTTTCTCATACGCAAGAGTGGATCTTCAGATGTAGGCAGGCATGCATACACACCCATACAATAGTGCGATTCAAATTATGCACCATATGTAGCCCATTCGCTGACATGCATCACAAACACGCAGTGGCCAAAAGTGCATTTCCTTAAGTACTGTACAATTTTGATGTACTTTTCTTCAGTAACAACAAGATTTTACATACAAATCAACTCATAAAATTTGATGTATCGTTATAGATAAAACCAGTATGTTGTTAACATATTTCATGAGCAGATACATTATTAAAAAACATGTGCATTTTAAGGACTTTTACTTTAAGTATGTACTTAACAGTAATGTACTTTTACTAAAGCAAAAATGTAAAAGCATACATTTTTGCTGCTGCAGAGTATATTTACATGGTAGTATTACTACTTGTACTTGTGTGTACACACTAATTCTACAGTTAACATGCAGAGAAACAACTAAAATGCAGAGAATAAGGCATGTAATTGCAATATGCAACTGACAAACTGCTGTCAGTATTATTGTTATTGATTGATACATTTTTGGAAGAATAACAAAGAGATTTTGGCAACAATCCTGAGCTAGTTTTGCCATATAAACTTTGTATATACAGTCTGTTCAGATTGTGTAGTGTGTCATTACTTTCATAGCCCAGTGAAACCATAAAAGTAAAATCATTTAAATGTACACTGATGCAAAACTATAAAATATATTTACAATTGACACTACCTTAAAAAGTCTGGGAACGGAATCTAATGATTATTATTAACAAAGACAGTTATGATTCAGTAAAATAGAACTAACAAAAAGACAAAAACAACCAGTCTAGACTGTCAAGGTTAGGTCACATCTACTCTTTTCTCAAAATACAAATCAGTGAAAATGTGAAGTGCATTTACATACTTTGAATCAGTGCCACACATTCTAAGAAGCAGTGTCATATCTGGCTCTCCTGTGTCGTCTGCTGTCTGAGAGAATTAGATATGACAATATAATTAATATCCAAACAGTCACTTATAGCTGGAAGGAAAGGAAGAGAGTAGGATAAACAAGGAGATGAAAGGAGGGAGGCACATGTAAAGGTCTTGACATGGACATTGTAGCACACACACAGAAACCAGCCCAGGATCAACAGTACTGGCACACACACTTGTCCTGTTAATTGAACCGTCAGCTCCTGTGATAAGATGCAGAACCCTTGCACATGTCGGCATCCACAGAAGTGAAATGCAGCCCACACACACACACACACACACATTATCTCTTCCCTCCTGCTTCCTCTCTGTCCCTCTGGCTCTCGTTGTCACTCTGCATGTTTTCTGTCTCAAAGCTGGAGACTGTTTCATCAGCCAAGAGAGACACAAAAGCAATTGTATTAATTCAAGATTCCAAGCCTTTCAGAGGCTTTAGAGGCCTCTTTCTCTCTCTCACACACACACACACACTGTTATGAGGTTTAGAGCTTGTTGAACAATGTCTAGCAATGACACACACACACACACACACACACACACAAACAAGTCGGTCCAAGCCTCTCAGCTCCACTGTCTAAACTAATTCCTCCACACTGGCATAATGCAGGTTGGCTACCTTCCCACCATAGGATTTGGCTTTGCGCGGAGGGGAGACTCCCCCATCCACTGTACAAGAGGCGGAGGCATTATCTATTTGTAATAAATATTCAAACGCGTTCCCAGCCAAAGCCCGCCATAATATGGGTCAGGATTGAGAAGATCCTGCTCAGTTTTTCTCTTTTCCTTTCTCTCCTCTTCTTCTTCGGCCCATTGTCTCAGTGAAGGCATCTTTGGGGGTCCTCCGTCTATTTAGAAAGACCCCCCTAATGAAGGACAATCCGGTTAGGCCTCATCGCACACACACGCGCACGTGCACGCAAAGTGGCGATCACACACACACACACATAGGCACGTACACATGTAGGGGCTTAATTGGAAGGGCTTAATTGAGTTGTGAGGGGCTCATAAGGCTTAGTACGACTCAAGGAGTGGGAATCAGGGAAAGTCGGCCTTAATGAGTGGATATACCACACACACACACAGTACTTGCTCTCTTTTTGGATCTCACTGTATGTTGGATTCTACTCCCCCTAAGCAGCAATTAGACTAATGACCAGAAAATAATGTCTCTGTTCTATGGTTTAAATTTAGCTATAATAGGACCACACCTGTTATAAATAAAGTCCCCTTTAATTCGGTTTTATAAAGTGGACATTTAAGAACATTTATTAATAAACAGTAAAACAACAAAGTGTATTTCTAAACCTCACAGACACTGTTGCTGTGCATCTATCCTGGTGGGCCCATGTTGTGCCTGTCTTTTAATTGAGGAGTTTTAATTACACAGAGTGGTCTCTGTACATCTGGCCCCTCGGCGATCTAATTCCTTCCTTCCTGTCATGTGACCCTCCGAGGCTCACCCCCTGATTGGATTAGGTCATCGGCAGGGGTGGTGTTGCCATGACAATTAACATGATAACAGCCCCCGGCGTGGTGCGGTGGTCCACATGCCGATTCATTTAGGGGCCACTGTCTGTTACATGCACTGAGGTTATCGCTGTGCGCAGACACCTTTTGATGTAGATGAATGACTGAATTTGACGATATAGACATGATAATACTGTTTGGAATACTTTATGGGAGTACTGTTGGCATCAACAACATAGATCTGTAAAAACAGCTTCTTCAAAAGATATTGATTGGTTGCTGGGGCTGTGTGTGTTGTTGAGGCATAAAGTCCCATGTTCACAGCCATGAAGGTCCCTTGTTTCTAATCGAGCAAGTGCACATTGAAGTGGCAGACAGTCCTCTGTTCTGCTTGCTGTTTTATACATTGAGATGTCAATGTCTTTCTCACAGCTGTAAAGACAGTCTCAGGGAGGTGTTATTGTTTGTGAAAGACAGAGGCGCCCACTGTAGTTTTGAGAATGATTTCAAGGTGTTTCTTCTCCTCAGGTGTTTGATTGTTGCTCATACCGTTGGCCTTGTTTGAAGCATGTTGAGGAGCAGCATTACAGTGCATGTTTACAGGAGCCTGCATGTGGAGTGTGCACATGCATCTGCATGAATTGTCTCGACTTCGCTGTGATAGGAAGTCAGTTATTTTGCATGTGAATGTCAGTGGTTTGCACCAAATTTTGTTTATTTTCGTCTGTGCTGTTAATTGTTTCGCATACGATGAGCTGTTTGGATAGGGGCAGTGGCATGCACCTCGTCATCTGTCCCACCTGGCTTGCCTTAGATTGCTGTGCATGGGCTCCCGTTTAATTGGTACGTGTTAAAGCCTCCATTGCGAGTGGTCTCTGTGAGGAAGGGGGAGGACCCCCTCCCCTTGCCTCCCGTTCCCAAATTCCTACGGTGGTCACAGCAGGCGAAACTGTGCTGTTTTGGTTTTTGCAGGACAGTGAGGGTGCACAGCCACTGAACCTGTCGGCCAAGCCTAAGGCATCCGAGAGCAAGTCACCCAACTCCCCCCCAACTTCCCCACAGGTCCCTGCTGCTGCTGCCGCCACCAAGCTGGGCCATGCCGGCTCCATGAAGCACAGCGTCGCCCCCTCCAGCATCGGAGGACCACCGACCAGAGTCAGCTCAATTGGTAAGTGGACTTAAGTATCCATCGCACGCACATGCACACCATTGGAAAAGTTGAAGGATCATCTGACGATCAGAGAGGTCAGGTTTTCTTTGATTTTAGCAGTTGTAATAAACCCCTATTTTCCTTTAAGTGTTCCCACACTTTAATGCACTTTTCTAAAAAGCATTTTTCCCATAATGACAATGTACGTGTTTAAGGCAAACAGTAATAGCCTTGCTGGTAGTGGGGGAAGACAAAAATAGCATTTTCCTCGTGGTGCTGCCATTGTTGCCAGTACCAGTACCATAATCATACCCGGCCATATGCACACATACATAAAATATGACATAAATGATTATGACTATTTTGTACTCTTAATCCATTTTTCACGCAACACTGATAGTTCAAATATTACACATATGTAACAGGCTATAATTAGTGTGTTTGTGTTTTTCCTGCGTGTCGCTATTTGCCTCCGGGCTGCTTCATTGTTATGTGTTTATTAGTGACTGAAAGAGACAGAGAGACATAGGAGTGAGGGGAAGGAGGGAAGGAGAGAGAGAGAGAGATGGGGATTAGCACTTTCCCGAGCGATGAAGCGGGGGAATAATAAAGAGAGGAGCGCATGACAGACAGGAGGTATCACCAATGAGATTAGACAAGCCTCTTACATGAGCCAGGACAGCGCAAACACCCAGCATTAATGACACAATGGCAGCACACACACTCAAACACACACTCAAACGCACACAAAAGCTCACAATCCCACCTCCTCCTCCTATGCAATAGGCAGTTAGTCATTTTTTTTCTGACTTCTTGGCTAATCTCACTGTTTTTCAACAAATCAGTGGATTTAATATCAGATTAGTGGATTTGTGGTCCCAGATGTTTTTTGTTCAGAAAAATGGATTACAGTGTTTAAAGTTTGTGTGTGATCCCTGCTGAATTATTTGTGTGTGGAGACCAGTGTGTTTTGTGTTGCATATCGCAGTTATGTTGTAGCTCGTGGTCCCATCTGTTGCCACTGAGTTTAGCCGCTCACCAACACATTTGTTATTACGCTTCATAGTCGTATTAGGATTCCTGTTACAAGTTCAGAGGGGATAGAGGGGGCAGACAAATTGGAAAAGAGTCTAGAGGCGGTCGTTTTGATGTGGCAGTGAGTGTGTGTGGGCGGCACAGAGTATGAATGTGTGTTCAGGTTATTTAAATTCAGACGGGAACAAAAACAGACACACGTTTTGTGGATGTAGTGGAAATGAAAAAGGTGGCAAAACTCTAGTGAGCAACCCAGTGCCCAGCAATGCAGACATAAGTTATTTTTATGTCTTTTTTTTCTCTTCCATTTTAAATCACATGCATAGTTTTTAATATTTTATTTTTGGACTGGGAGGGACTGATTAAGTGTTCAAAATGGTGGTGTTTTATATTGAAGAAACAGGGTTTGAAATGACTGGTTTTATATGATTATCCATAAAAATAATACAATATGTAATATATAAGAATATAACACTTTTTCTTTTGATACTTTAAATACATTTTGTTTATAATACTTATGTACATTTACTTAAGTAAAACTCTGAATACCTGAATGGAGTGTTTTTTTTCATTGTTGTATAACTAGTTTTACCTCAGCAAAGGATCTTAATACTTCTTCCAGCACTGATTACATGATTTTTTTTTTTTTGTCTGAATGCTAAATTGGTATAATTTTGCTAGTTAACAAGCTCATTTGGACTTTAAACGAGCCTGTCCTCATTTAACATACATTACATCAGGTTCATATCACTTGTAATGAGGCTCAGTTTGAATAAATGTATGTCATGAAGATGCATGCCTGGAAAAAATGGCGGATACAAGCTTATGAATAAGTGTAAAAGAGCATAAGATCTGATTATTCAGTGCTCACTAAGGCTTTTAGAATATATCTGGGTCATATCTGCAGGTAAAAAGATGAGTTTCAGTAGCTTCACCTTCCACTACGTCCCTACGTGTCCAAATACATTTTAGTTTGTCTGTCTCGGCTGACTTCTCCACAGTGCACCTCTCTTTCTCTTCTGACACCTCCCGACCCAAAGGCACATTTCTATTTCTCCTACTTCATCCGTCCATCCGTCTACCCATCTCAAACCAAACTGAAGGGCTGTCAGCGCCTGTAACTTCTACCACGATCACACATTTGTCTTTGTCTTCCTGTCATAAAACACTGCAGTTCCCCCTGACCTCCCTGCCGGAGTGTTTTTGTGGTCAGAAATGTACTGCGGCTGTCTGTACAGATTTGGCGCTCACAGAGAGACTAAACTTGTGTGTGTAAAGTGAGAGAGAAACCCTCCTCCCCTTCTATCTGGGTCACATTCACTTGTCTGGATGGTTGGCATCGCTGTCAGTTTAAGCGAGACTCACACACACATTCATGAGCACAAGAATATCTATCTGTCCCCCCTCCCTCTCTTTTGACTCCAGATTAAAATTGACTGCCACCCGATTCCATCGCCCTCTCCTCTCTCCCTCTTCTGTCCTCTCTTGACACCCACCACCACCACCACCACCCCCGACCCCCTTTTTTTTTTGGCCCCCGCTCACATCCAGATTTTCCGGTTATGACTTCTGAAAGAGTTCACGGCTCTGTCATTACCAATCTGAAGCTGGTAATCTGGCCTGAGATGGCATTAGCGGTGCGGATTAGCGCTGATAAAGGCCCCATAAGCCGGCCGCAGCTCTTTGTTAAGAGCTAACCCGACTGATAGAGAGAGGCGATAGTGCCGCACACAACCTTGCGCATACGCACACACAGTCGGAGCAGATGCCTCAGATGCCTCATCGGCGGCTAAGCTGCGGAAATAATACAAATAATAGGCGGCAAGGAGGAGGAGTGGGGAGATGTGATCTGTGTTCGGCAGCAGGACAGATGTTCTCAACTGGGGAAATTAGCAGGACTTTTTAGCTGTAATAAGAGTCATCTGGCCACCTCTATAAAGTGGAACTGTGACGGTTCAGATGAAAAGAGATGTGTGTGTGTGTGTGTGTGTGTGTGTGTTTTAAAGGGATTTAAAGTCCAGGGGTTGAAGTTGTGTGTGAGTGTCTGTGTTCTTAGTTTTTGTCTTTCTGTGTGTGTGTGTGCGTGTGTGTGTGTGTGTGTTTACGGCTGAGGGCAGGTGGGGAGGCAGTGGGCAGCTTGTAGCAAGGCTAGCCGGGGGCACACTCTGACTCACATGCCCAACTCGACAGTCAAGTGGTCAGTGTGTGTGTGTGTGTGTTTGTCTCCCTCTCTCAGGCTCAAACACACACACAGATGCCCCTCATCAACTGTGTGTGTATGTTAATGTCTTTACCTCATGGTTCAGGGGAAGGTTTATTCTGCATGAAAACATCCTGCCAGCTTCCCAAACACACACACACACACACACAAGATTAACTGTAAATGCTGTTTAAAATAAGTAAATAATAAATAAACAAATAACAGTACACAAAGACACTCAACTTGAATCACTTGAAGAACATTTCTATTCACTGTTAATGCAAAACTAAATTAATTGCTCGCCCTCTCTCTGTGTCTGTGTGTCTCTGTCTGTGTCTCAGCAGACTTGTTGTCGTCGCTGTCCTCCACAGCCTACCTGAACGACCACGAGGCGGTCACCAAGGCCTTCGCCGAGGCCCGGCAGATGAAGGAGCAGCTGAAGAGAGAGCAGCAGGTCCTGGACGCCAAGGTCGCCGCTGTCAGCAACCTCAGCCTCAACAATGGACGCTCGGACAAGGTAAACCGCTTTGAAATCACATCCATATAACAGTACATGGCATCGGATTGGGCTGTAACCTTAGCAACAGGCGACAAAGTGTGACAGCTGCCCCCAAAGGATTAAATCTAGGTTTTTAATGGCCTTTTCTCCACATTAAAACTTGGAACATGCAGCAGTATAGAATGTGACCATAAAATCATTAGATTTGATGGTCACAAAGTGTGTTACAGCTTTGAGTTCAACTTCAAGTTACATCAATAGAAGTTCAAAAGGTCAGCTGACACATTAAATGATGTGCTGTTATACAATAATATTGCATTGTATTAATTAATTTAAACATTATATTTAAATGTCCATATTAGTACCTTAACTTTAAAGTCTTCATTTATATTTGCTCCGCCGTTTGGGGTGAAAATATATGCTGAAATACAGTGCACACCGTTTTTATTGATGTTTCTTTCTCGCATCTGTTAAATTATGATATGAGGATTTTTATGACAAATGAATCACACCCACTTAATAGCATCAAAACTAAAGGGAAACATATGGATATCCTTACAGTGTGTTTTATCTCGGTAAAAAAAAAAAATCAGCTGATTCCAAAGGTCTTATTTCATTTTTTTAAAAAGGCAGAAGAAAAGTCTCCAAAGTCATAACAAGCTGTACCGTCTCATTGTCAGTGTGTAATAATTTGTCTTGCCATATGCCATCCCTTACTGCACCATGTAGGAGGTAAATCGGTGTACAATGTGCTCGCTGAAATGTGTTGAAGCTAAACAGGGCCAGATAAGGTAAAACCAGAGGCGTCTCAGAGGTAATGAGTGTGTCTGTAAGGCGCACTGCGGGGCTGTGTGTGTGTGTGTGTGGTGTGGTGTGTGCACACGCGCGTGTGTGGTGTGCTGATGTGTGTGGTGTTTGTGTGTGTGTGGTGGTTTGTGAGCGTTGTGTGTGGCAGAGCGCGCGTCAGGGAGACGTAAATGTGA